TTCCGTGGAGATGACTTTGTGTATTATTCAGTATCAACTGATGATAGAGGTTATATTTAATATATGTAAAAACTTCACAAACGATAAGATTTCCACAAAATTCTCAAACATACGACATGTTTCGCTAACACAGTAGCTTCATCAGGTGATATAACTGGTGCAATGAACTGTACCACAATTATATAGTCGAGTTGGATATTAGTTCCATATCAGATCTCCGCCACTGAAATTGTCACGTGATGTTCACAACTGCATAGGTGATTAAATCACAATCATTCCATAGAAACAATAGCTTTGTTGGGTGCCATTCATTATCATTGTTCCTAACATGAAAAAAAAGCTGCTCTTCAAATTGGCACCAATAAATTCACAAGCATCTCAGTCCCCTTGAAAGAACGAAACAATGCGTGGATAGCATTTTGTTCCTACGGGACTTTTTGCAGATATAGGGGCTAGAAGCACAACGTGATATTTGGCTGGTGTGGATTTTCACACCCTATATACTGGTACTTATATTCTCACAGACTGGTGTTTAGTCAGATACCCTTGAGAGTGCAAGGACAAACTAAAATCGGTTGTACTTCTCTACGTCTCTACCCATCAGACTCAATTCCTATTCATATACTGTCTGTTTTCTTTTCGATTGGAAATTAGTTCAATTGATCGAAAATAACAGTAAAATGAGTATTTCCTTCATATCCTCGTAGTCGTACCTGGTAGTCTATGTCAGAATAAAAAAAAAGCAAAATGTGACAACATAAACTGAGTATGTCATTGTTGATTTAAATATTTTGCGAAACCACCCTTTAATGATTGAGAAATAAGCTGAGCCAGTTCCAGTGTTATCTGACCTTTTGATACAGAACCTTCTTGCCCAAACCTGATGGATACATAATGGGTATTCAGTTGAATCTGAATTTTCATTGATGTGGTAATGGTTTTATGAGCCAGTAGTCCATGAAATGAAAGAAGAAACTACGTTGGCACTATTGGTAGGAAAATACGCATTTGGTCATTTATATGAGTCATGCTGGTTCACCTTAACTGACCATACCAAATACTGAACAAATGTGTTTTGAAGAATCCAATACTTACTCTCCCTATTCTGGCTCTATTTTATAGATATTTTCATGGACGATGCGAGATGTTCCTCGAGGCATATAACCTCCAGAAATTTAAGAAGAACACCAATTCCTACCTTATTTTCCTTGGTCCTCACGATGTTCTCTGAATATTACAGGATATCTCTTTTCGTGGGAACCAGAACATAAAAAAACTCCCTAGGCACGTATGATGTTCCTCGATTATTATTGGAATTTCTTTTCGTGCGCTCCAACAGATAAGCAAAAACAATTTCAGTCTATAGTATCCAACATTTCGTAACACTAAATCAAAACGATGGTTACAGGACCAGTATTCGAGTTTATGAAATTTATAACACACGAACCAAGAATTTTTTGTTTGAATATACCCATTAGTCAGCCATAATCAAAACACGGTACTAACTTGTCTTGAAAGAATGAAACGTCTAAGGCTAGTGAAAGAAATGATAACTCAAGAGAAGTGCTTCAATGTGTGATATTCAACATCACTCTAGTCACCTGTCCATAAAAAGTGTCAGTTAATTCTTTTCAATATAGGTGCTTATTATTTCCGATGACTCACATAATACGAAGTTATACCAAGAGGAGGCACACAATACCCAGTAGTGTCCGGTGGGAAGACTTATTAAATTCTCCTTTTGATTTCGGTTTAAGACGGAAGTTCCTTTTCAAACGGTCTATCTCACTTACCGTGAAAAGAAACAGGGGCGTACTTGGTCACAATGTGGATTATAAAAATACAATGTGTTACAATTTGTTCCACCCCAACCCTGTTCTTTTTATTAATTCGTTTTTATTTTGCTTCTTCTGAAACTTCATCATATTTATTATCATTCATTTCTACATTCTACATTATACAAGGGAAAAATAGTAGATTTTTTCCCTTGTATGATAAATAACTATTTTTTGACCCTTAAATCCCAATATTTCAGAATAGGCGATTTCGAGAATATTCTGGAAACCCGTTTTTAAAGGGTGCCAATGCATTGTGCAGAATGTTGTGATTTTCAAAAACTACTATAGCCATATACTTATGAACTGGACATACCTTTTCACGTAAAACATCTTCAAGTATTATACTTTGTTATCAGAATATAAAAAAACACGAAACTGGGATTGTTTTTAACCTTATGAAACCACTAGTAGACAGTATGATACCAGCAAACTCGAAGAAAACATAGATTAGGCATTTTTGATATTGACAATCGACTCGCGACTAAGTCGAAGACAAAAAGTCACAACTCTTCAGACTATCAGGAAATCTCAATGTCCCACTGACGAATGATAAAAATCCTAGAATCTCAAGGCTCATAAATTATTATGATACATATGTATAATTGAACGAAATTATCGTTCACACAACCTAATCTAACATTGCAAAAACCCTTCTGTTAACGAGGAATCAACGAACCTAACTGCTTTTGGGTGTATGATAAATTGACATTCATCATACGTGGAAAAAAATTCTGAATTGAGACTCAATCACGAATCTGCGATTACTGGTCTATAAAAATCACAAGTTTCCATCGTTCAAGTTTGAACCCCTTGATTCGGTATGAAAGTGTTGAAAAGGAATATTCTCATATAAATTATGAACATACAAAAATGGATATATATTTATATAAAGCAATACATTGAGAATTCGCATTCTCTATGTGATGAAAATATCAACTCTTTTTCAGTTTATTCAATAGAAAAACTACTTTCCTGGCTATATGCCACGACGAACATTGAATTATATCTATTTAACACACACGATAAGAGTTTGAAAATAAAATACAAAATAATTATGTTGCCATTGATATGAACGAAGCGAATCTTCAATTCTCTGTCAATTATTGCTAGGATCAGCCCTATGAGTATTGAAAACGAACAATAATACACGAAGAAAATAGAAAGTGGAAATTTTTGGTGAAAGGAAATAATTGTTTATCTCCCCTTTTCCCTTCATCGCAATGCCAATAAAGAGAAAGACTTCACACACTCATTCTTTAAACCTTCTATTGTTTGTGGCCCTTGTGATTGCTCTTTTGTTTTCTGATTTGTCTGAAAGGCAGAGGTGACTCGTTAAGTTCATGCATTCCCAGAGAGTTGTAGATATTTTTACACAGGGTATTAATAGAGGAAAACTAACCTCATTATATTAATCTTCATGGTTTTAATGTGAATTTTCATACAATTAGTATGTAGGGTTTTAAAAAAACAGGCATATCTAAACAGCTTTAATGCGAACGTTAATAATCATTTTCTCGGAAATGGTGATTTTAACAAAAAAAAGTATATCCTGTTTTTCCTTTTGAACCATGATTTTCTATCTACCGTAGCTATTTCAGCTCTCCAAAATTTGCAGTCAATTTGAAATCATTATTTTATCGAGGCAAATAATGGAAAAAATTAAGCTGATCCTAGTAATTCGAAATGAGTGAATTTTTGGGATATGCGGGTTCAAAAACATGAGGAACAATACTATGAAGTTAGTTTTCCTGCAAAAAAAATCATATATTGGATCTTTCTTTTATTTTATTCAGACCAGGGAAGAGTCCCTCTTATCCTGATATCTATTATGGAACAAAATAAAAACGGTATTGAAGTTTGATGCGAACAGCCCTTCTGTCCCAAATAAGTTTCAGAAATACATTCTGAGAATTATTGAAAGAGATCGAACGGAATAAATAAATATCATAAACTTGAGAATAGTAAATTTGGTCATAATGTCGATATTTTCCCTAGTTTATGGACAATCTCGGTCTTTTGAACTTTGATTGATCACCTGGATCATAATCAACTGCATTTCGAAGAAGCTGATTCTCATGAACCTCAGCTTTTTCGAAAGTCTTGATGTTTCGTTCTTTAATGACTGACACGATTGATGGGAGTTTCAGATCCCTGGCGATCTGGTTATTCCGAACATACCAAGGAGATCCTGTCACCGTTCTCGCGATTTTGTTTTGTAATGTTTGTAATCTAGTGATATGAGATTTAGCTGTGTGGCCCCAGACTACTGAGGCATACAGTAAAATTGGCCTGATAGCCATGATATAAATATTCAATTTTTGTCTCAAACCCAATTTACTTCGTCTGTTTAGAAATGGATACAGGGCTCCAATGGCTCGTTTAGCTTTAGAAACTTGCTGTTCAATGTGGTGGGCCCAAGTGAGCTTTTTGTCAATGCACACACCTAAGTATTTAACTTGTGAAGACCACTCTAACTCATGACCATCCAGGACTATTCTGGTTCTGGGAGGCCTCCGCTCCCTTCCGAGTGCGACCAATTGTGTTTTTGTAGGATTTAATTTGATCTTTCCATCTTAGGAAGTACTCCTGAAGAGAATTCAGTGCGCTAATCATAATATGATTTTATAAGGAATCGACCCCCTTTCATTACAATTAAAACGTACGGCACTGTTCATAATGTTTGTCTCTGAGAAACTGATCATATTGTAGTAACTGAGATATAGAGGGAGGGGGCGTTCGAAGAAAGACACGCTGTATATGATATGATCTCGATAACACCCTGTATAACTATCAGCTTATTTTGAATCAGACCTATCAGTTTCAGTTTGTGAAGTTTCTATAGCTTTACTGACGAAATTCTGATTTGGACTTTGCAAGAATCCTTCCCATAGCAAACATTTTCAAATATTTGACGTTCAATGAATGCACGAGTTTTGGTTGAGATTTCTTCAACAAATTTCGAAGTTGATGACGAAAGGATGTGCTCACTGAGCTTATCATTCCTGTGAGGACTAATGGAACATATGAAAAACGCTCTTGCTCAGTCTCATTTCACTTTCCCTATTCCAATTATCCCAATTTCAAGAACCATAAATCCAGACACTTCAAAGAAAGCTTCCGCTATGCGACCACACGAATTATTCCTTCTTAATTTAAGGGAAATTAACGGAAATTAGTCACCAAAGTCTGGTTTTGGTTTTGCCGAGGACTGCATTTGACGGCGAAAGAGAAATCATTAGAATGCTGGGAAAAAAGTGTGAAAGTGAATATTATGCGGAGGAAATGCCTGAGTTTTCTGCAAATAAAACGAATGAGAATTTCAAGAGAGTCAAAGTGTTCGAAATATAAATATTGATCTCTAAAATGATCCTTTCAAGAACTGGACTACACAAAAAAAACAATTGATCATGAATATAGCATGCCGACTAAAGTTTGAATAGCTTCATTTGCCGCAATTTTATATCCGAATCTATATACTTTCGTGATCGGAATTCATGTCGATACATTTTTTTCTACGGCTCTTACACAAAATTGCTCTTGTTTTACTGTGTTCGATACATCAATGATGTACTTTGTTTGTCATCAATTTTATTTCCGTATCTGATATCACAATGACTCCATTTTTTATTTAAAAAAAAAACTGAACGCCCATGGAATGTAAAATTTCAAGCAAATACAAGTCTGTCTGTAAATTGAGGAGGAAAATTGATATATATATGAGATACAACTGTTGATAATTATATGCAGTCACGTTTTTTTCTGATTTACATCAACGATCTAATAGATTATGATGAAAATAGTAAATGCATATCATATGCAGATGATACAGTCGTCTTGGTCAGTGGAAAAACGTGGGATGAATTGAAAATAAATATGCAGAAATCTATGAAAAATGTAAAATTTTGGCTTGACATCAACCTGCTTTCACTAAATTGGGAAAAAACCAAGTGTGTTTGCCATTTTTTGTAGACAGTCGCACTAAGCCAAACTATGAATATATAATTTTGCACAATGAGTGCACTGATATGACAACATGTAACTGTAAATCCAAAATTGAAGTTGTTGATGAAATAAAATACTTGGGAATCAATCTGGATGCTAGCATGCGATTTGGTAAACATGTAAAGATTACAGCAACTAAGCTTCGGAGGAGCATTTTTATTTTGAGAAAACTACGAAATTTCATGAGTAAATCGAATTTAAAAACGATATATCATGCTTTATTGGAATCGATCATGCAATATGGTATCTTAGCATGATGGGGTAGTTTACAGAAAAGAGCTCTTAAACTTATACTACATAAAAATCAAAGGTACCCTACTCAGTTATTATATCAAGATCTTCTTGTACTCAGACTGAGAAAACTGTATGCATATAAAGTTCTTTTGAATATTGCCAAAGATCAGAATTTGATACAGTCTGTAAGCATGGCTAATTATAACACGAGACAAATTCCACAACTCATAGCAGAAATTCCAAGAAAATGTATAAGAATATCTCAAAAATGTATTTCTTATGTAGAACCTAAATTATTCAACTTACTTTCTGTAGAAATAAAAAGTCGAAATTTCAATGATGCACAATTCAAAAAACAATGCAAAAAATGGCTTTTTTCTGTTGATATAACAATTTCAAATAATATATTCATCTAATATTCTGTATATCATTGTATATTCAAACCTAATAGTCCTGAATTTAAAATTTTTATCGAAACCTATATACTTAACTGTATAGATACCAATTTAACCTGATTACATCAATAATTTTGTACTACCAATTGCGTTTGAAATATCTTATCTTATGTATATATGAGGAAATAGGCCATAGTCAGATAGGTTCATAGAATTATACATACTTACTTATATAAATTTCAGTTTGCCTGCAAAAAAGTGTATTGTCACGCGCTGGCAGATTGCTGCCTTAGTGATCATATTCTTCTTTATTCCTTGAATGAGTATAGTTAGTTAATTATACTAGGAAATTTTCAATCTATATAGTACCTACTCATTATTGATGGAATATAATATATATCTATGTAACATTTTATTTTTCTGAATAAAGAATCATTACATTACGTTCTTCTGAGACAGTAATAAACAATGCAAAAGGCCAATCACCTAGTGATTGTACATCGTGAATTCAATTATTCCGATTTCAACGATTCGTGGCCAGATTTGAATCTGTTAACGTGCGACTCATCTGATGAATCGGAATACTAGCCCACAGCAATCATATCTCAGCTTTGTAATAATCTGCTTCCTTACAATACCCTATTACTATCATTATTGTTATTAAAATAATGGAGAAAGAGGAATATAAAGCTATAATCCACTTTCGAAAAAGGTCTTTTGTCGGATACTTGGCATCAAAGGTTTCGATATAATGATGCGGAGAAAAGAATGAAAAAAGTAGGTATACATATTATAATAACGTTGAGTCATGGTTATGATTTGATTTAAGAGTAATATTCATAATGAAAAAAAATCCACTGGATATTCAAACACATCACACATCAAAAGGGTTACTCAATTCGATTGAATATATTATTATGCTTTGATGCAAGAATATGGAAACATCTCTTTTCAGGTTATTATTTATTCATTTATATTTTCAACTGACGACGATATCTCAAAGTAGTAGATTTCAGCTCGAGGTTTGTTTAAAAAAATCCGTTAGCTAAAATCTAATATTTTAACCGTGTTTACAGTATTTTTTGCTGTGACAGGGCAAAGGACGAATCAATATTGAGAAGATATATTTATTGATCAGTCTTGGACTTGGTCTTGGTCTCGCGAAGCCCTATACAACCAGGTTGTTCTCTATCTATCAATACATCTCCCTGTAGGAATATTTTTTATCGCTTGGAGCGCACGAAAGGAAATCCCTATAATGTTCAAAGAACATCGTGCTTTCCTAGGGATGATAGCGACAGGAGGTGAGTATTGGATTTTTTTTTGAACTCCTGGAGATTGTGTGTTGTTGGGAATACTTCCTCAGGCAATGAATTCCAGAGCCTAGCCGTTCTATGGATGAAGGAGTCTTGATAAAGTGCTGTTCGACATCTTTTGAGGTTGACAACGGAAGGATGTGCTGACTGGGCTTGTCTAGCTGGTCTGACTTGTATTGCTAGTGAAGGGATGATAGCAGAGATTTCCGAAGAACATTTCCCGTGGGAGTATCGATAGCGTCACCCACCAGGCGAATGGATCTTCTCTGGATGGAATCTGAGAGCATCAGCGTATATTTTGGTGCAGAAACCCCATATGTGGGAACAGTATTCTAGAACAGGCCGTATCTGCGATATGTAGATCATGAGAAGCTGATGAGGTGTAAAGTAGCTTTTCGCACGGAACAAGAATCCGAGTTTTTGTGAAGCAGCTTTTGCGATGGATCTGACATGATTATCCCATGAAAGAGTGTTGCTGATGGAAATACCGAGCATAGATAAGGTGGGCTTGGTGGGAATGGAGGTACCAGACATTACAATATCGGGCATACTGAGTTCCGCCTTTCCAGAGAAAATACAGGCTTGAGTATTGGAGGCGTTGAATTCAACTAGGTTGTTGGTTCCCCAGGCTGTGATTTCAGGTCTTCATTGACAGCATTGACTTGCCTGCGCCGTGAGTTCATAGTTTCCTGGGAAGAAATGGGAATTCTGGAAGATAATGCAGTATGGAAGGTACTATCATCTGCAAAGCTGTTGATGGGACAAGTTGTTACTCCCAACAGATCATTGATATGAAGCAGGAATAATATTGGTGCCAGAATTGATCCTTGTGGAACGCTGGAATTGATGCCAATGGTATCAGACGATACACCGTCCACCACCACGTGAAGCGATCTGCCTGAAAGAAAACTCGATAAGAGATGGCATAGCTGAGGTGGTAAGCCGTATGATGGTAGTTTGTGGAGGAGTCCTTCGTGCCAAACACGGTCGAATGCTTTCGATATGTCCACCGCGACAGCTAGAGATTCCCCGTGTTTTTCTAATGAAGCTTGCCATAAATGGGTGACGTAGGCAAGTAGATCTCCAGTAGATCTTCGGTGGCGAAAGCCGTATTGTCTATCATTGATGATTCCTGAGCTCTCCAGATATTTGGTAAGCTCAATATTGATGGCTTTCTCCATCACTCTGGAGATTACTGATAACAGGGCAATGGGCCTGTAGTTGTTGGGCAGGTTAGGTTAGGTTAGGTTTTTTTTTGGGGATTGGTTGGACTCTAGCTGTCTTCCAGCATGAAGGAAAAATACCCGACCTGTACGAGAAGGTAAACAACTTGCAGAGAATCGGTGTTAATTCTGGTGCACATTTTTTGAGGATAATGGGTGGAATGGGTTGTAGAGCAACGTTGAACGATATAAATCACCACGTGTATTCATGGTGTGCCAGTGAAATTTCCTCGAGATCGTTAATCAAACTATTAATTAGCGAAACGCGTAAAGGTTTAATAAACCCTCTGATGAAATGCTTTTCGGACATGTTCACACCGTCGACGGATATATTTCGGATTCGGTCGGAAAGTGTTGAGTTGAGGCACAGACGCAAGTCATTAAAGAGCTCGTTACCTAGTCTGTGCCGCATTATAATCAGTTGATGGTAATTGAGGGGTCCAATGCATAAACCAGTCAAGTCAAATTTTTTTTGTGAAATGAGTTGACACGTTCGCGTGATGATATGTACATTACAGCAGAACCAAAACTCAAATCACATGTTTTTTGAAATTCTGTTGTATCATCGATAAGTTACTAATTTATTACTAATTTATCACCACATTCGCAAATTTCTAACACTTCATTCAACAGGGAAAACCAACGGCTCTGCTAACTTGCTGTCAACCTAGCAGAGCCATAGCTAAGAATTTACTATTTCGGAAACTTCAAAGACACCATACTTACTTACTTTATTACTAACTTATAACTATAACCACGAACTTTTTACCCATCATTTCGAGGAAAAAAACGACGATTTGACTATCTCGATCTCAACCTAGCAGAACCAAAACTAAAATCACATGTTTTTTGTTATTCTGTTGTATCATTGATAAGTAACTAATTTATCACTGATTTATTACCACATTCGCAAATTTCTAACACTTCGATTAACAGGGAAAACCAACGGCTCTGTCAGCTTTATGTCAACCTAGCAGAAAAATTAATATTTTGAAAATTTTAAATATACCATAATTTCTAACTATTTTCATTATTAACTTATAACTATAATCACGAATTTTTCACTCATCATTTCAAGGAAAAAAACGACGATCTCAACCTAGCAGAACCAAAACTCAAATCACA